GGATTCGGACTTACGTATCAGAGGACGAGACGGGCCTAGAGATTGGTGTTGACGGCCACGCAGCCGATGTTGATCAAGCCGGCTGCAGGGAACGCGCATAAGCATGCTTTACCACGAACGACAATGCCACAGAGACCTACCGAAGATGTCGTTTTCGCAGCACACGGGGGTGTTCGTGCTGGCAACGCGCGTCAGCTATACAAATCTCAATAGGGCCGCTCGCACGGCGCACTCACCAAGTATCCCCGCCAACGACGGGGCTACAGCCGATACCGACGAGGCCTGACACGCCATCTAGAAGATCACCCACCAAGCTGACAATACTCGGGTCAGACGCGTTGCCGACGGCGTTGCAACACTGGAGTGAACCCGTATTGCACTGTCCGCCGAAGCTGGAAGGCGGTGAGCGCGGAGCGGTGGCGGCGGCACGCACAGCGATGAGCATGGCGGCAGAGATGATGGCGAGGTTCAGCTTGGAATGCATTGTGTCGCAAAAAAGGAACGGCGGTCAACGAGCGAGTGATGTCGATGATGATTGCTGGAGGGACAATCAGCGCGCTGCGAGCAAGTGTGAAAGAAGACGTACGTGAACGAGCGAGGGGGAATGTTCGACCTGCCGTCCCCCGTCAAAGCGCGTGGTATTTATTGCGGAGAGGAGGACTCACTCTGATGTCGTTCGCTGTGAGCGTGAAGACATGAAAAGGAGACTCATGGCCAGGCACTGGTGCTGTCGTGCTGTGGCAGTGGTGAAGGTAGGAGGTTCGGACAAGCCGAGCACAAGGAAGTCACAGCGACCACGCTATCCACTGCTGTCACGATGTGGCACCATGGCAGCGGTCAAGGCAAGCGGTGGCGAGAAATGCAGCGACGCGCGATACATGCGGCCGCACAGAGAGCGGTGGTCTGGCCACTTGGCAAGTTTTCACGAAACACCCTCGAAAAAAATACAGCCAATCGTACGGATAGCAGTGACATCTGGCACTGTTCGTAGGACGTTCATCGATCGCAATCCGCGGACGTTCACGCGCACTGGCAGTGCTAGTGACGGGCGATTGATACCTTGAAGATGCGTCATGCTTTTGGCTCAGAAGCGTTCTTGATGTGTGCTGATCGTTGATGCGATGCATTGATGGTGCAATCCGTCCCTAATTTCTTTTGATGGACAGAGGCGGTCTTTCCTTGCAGATCTGCGAGCTAAGGCCGGTCAGGACCAGCGGGACACGGTCTGTAAAGTGTCCTGCGCCTGCGTTCGTGTTACCGTCTTCACATTCACTCACACATCAGCCTAGTTGGCATGCATCGCCGCTCGACACAGGCTATCCAGGCGGTCGCTGCTGGACGTGTTATGAAGATTCGAAGCGAGCAACGTCATCCGTTCAACTTGGACGCCGAGTGACCTGGCGAGCTGACAAGCACCGTGCATATCAGCTACGACTCGACGATTGGCGACGGAACATACTCTTAATCAAGGGGCATCGATCAAGGATCACTGTATAATCGATGCATCCGTCGACGTCAAAGAGCACACACTCGAAGCGCGGCCACGGCCAGGGGGATCCGCGTTCTGCGCAGGTGACTTGCTGGCACATCCGTGCGCGACGGCATCACGCACTCGTCAAGTACTCGTTCACCACGGGCATGTGGACATTTGCGATCGTTCATGCATTTGACAAATTTTGGCAGTGTTGCAAACGCCACACTTTGAAAGTATTTGCAATACGAACAAACGTCTTCGTTTCTGCAGTGGGATCGATGGCATGGTCGTAGCATCTTGGGTCGATGGCTGATAATAGCGTGCACTTTTCGTCGTCCCGATCTGAGATGCTAATGGTTGCAGGTCTCTCGTTCCTGCGTCAAAGTCTTGAACAGAGACAGTATTGCATTGTGGCCGCGTCATCTATGGTCGAAGAGTCGCAATTCATCTTCTGCCTACTCCGCAGCCATGGATATCCGAAGCCCGTGGAGGTTGAAGGAATTGCCTCATCTGCCCACCCGGGGATGCGAGACTACAGCCACCGTGAGATGCTGCAAACGAACTACGGCAGACCCCGACTTACAAAGGAGGGTTGATATCGTCCAATGGCAATTACCACAGCATTCCCTTAAAGCATTATTGTACCCTCACGAGCGACTTCACTCCGCTCGTGGGTCGCGCTGATACAGCCGCGAATAGCAACTGGGGCATGCATGGAAGTTGGAGCTGTGGTCATGCATATGCAGGCAACGATCGTCCGCACTGGATGTGCTGAATGTCACTTGACCTGCACGCGCTGAGGTTATAAATGAATCGTTCATGCATGCAAACGCGAGCATCGTCGAGAAGATGAAAGCGAGACGACGAGAGAGAGACGAGAGGCAGATGCCATCACGGCCGACGACATCACTGCAAGCATGTGTGCCGTACGAATCACCATAGCCTCTCCATTACAGTAATATTCATCTCAATCTTTATTTAAAGTACAGCCCTCGCGACATCCTCAACAGCCACTTTTCCTGTCTGAAGTATGGTCCACAGACAAAAGGAATCAAATTCTCCCAGAAATGATCCTTGAATCCAATATATTCCTCGTTCTTCTTCTGTCTCTGCATTGCTACATACTCGAACCAAGGTGGATAGTATCCTGCCCATGCCCAGTCGATCATCCAAAGTCGACCATCTTCGCCTGCGATGATGTTCCGAGGATTGATATCTTGGTGTGTAAGAACGAGTGGTGAGGAATCATCGAATGACTCTTTCCTCGACGGATCGTCTTCAGGAACTTGGTTCGAGTCCAATGTCATTTTGCACCGTTTTTTGAAGAAGGCCGATAGCTCCGCGTACGATGCGAATGGTCCACGGTGCGATCGGACCTGACCAAAAATGGGCGATTCACAAATCCGTGGTCCTTGCACACTGAGCGGTCCTGGAGGCGTGGTAGGAGATGCCTTCAGACAATGTAGCTGACGGACATAGCGGCGCAAGATGAAAGCGACACAGATCTTCTTCCGTATGGATAAATTTGACCAGATTTCAGCCAGAGTTGAACCCCTGACATAATCCATGACAATGAGGTGATCCCACTTCCGCTTTACGACGCGACGAACTCGCGGAACGGGGATCTTCGTCTTTGCGAACACGAGTGTGAGGGCATTTGCTTCCGACGCATCAGCAGCATCTTCATCGAGGTCCTGCGATGCTTTCGCCACTGTGTGTGGCGTTATCCGGAAGATGGCAGAACTTGAATGAAGTTTCGATGCCTTTTGCGTGAGCTCGAGAATCTGGTTGTCACTCAGTTCGTCTACATCTGAAGGCTATGATGGCACTCTTGCATTAGCAAAGGTAGAGACTCACGCATGCTGATGGTGTTCACTCACGAGTACATGCGGTTTGGGCCTGCTGTTTGAAGCAACAACGGACAAGATCGTGTCCAAGGCGTCGGCCGCGATGCATAACAATAAGTATATCAGCCACTTGCACGCTTCTCCAGGTGTCTCCATGGCCTGGCTTTGTCTGTGTTGAATTTGTATCGTCCGAAGCCGATGTTGGCGGAAGGTGTGAAGGTACTTATTTCCCTGTACATTGTTTGGCAATGTTTGCTCATAGTGGCTTATTTTTCGATAGCTACGGGAGGCTACACAGCGTGCATAGCAACATTTTTCCATTGGAAAACAGTAAAGAAACTCTGAAAACATAGTAAGCTTTGATTTGGAAAAATGGTGAAGCTTCCTGCATCATTAAATTGCTATATATGGGTATATACTACCCAAATATGAAGCAATTTACATAATAGTTTTTAACATTTTCCAAAGCAGGGCTTTATATTCTTTTACTATATTTTCACCATTTCTTCAGCGGAAAAATATTGGTATGCATGCTGTGCTACGGGATTATTATTATTGATCTCGACTGGTGTGGCAATCCAGGCTCCTCCCCATCTCACTTTCAGAAGTGTGGGGGGCCCCCATCCTAAGGAGGGATACAGTGCCACATCCTAGACCGATCAGCCATGTGCTCAATCATGATGTGATCACTAATTTCGAACTATCGACTCTTATTCCCCTCCAACTCCCTATAGCGGCTGAGAGAAAATATGTGTAAATAACGGAGGTCAGAGGCCGACCTTCTGCAATTGGCAGTCAGCAAGGCCAGAAAATAGATTATTGATAGGCGCCTGTAATAAATTTCTGGCAACTCTAACATTCATTGATAACAGTGGTTACAAGAGTCCTGCTACGGCAAGGCATCAATAAACAGCACTCAACAGCATGATTCAATGGTGAGGATTTCCATGGTTATCTAGAGCAGTGCAGATCATTGAGGGTGACACCATGGTTGAGTGACTGAGTCCGAAGCTGTGAGATGTGAGAGGCTCTCTTTTGCATTTTTGACTCCTGGTGTCATGTTTTTGATTGCAGCAGCATTGAAGTTGTCATAGACAGACTTTACAAGGAATGCGTCTGCCAGTGTGCAGATATCAGAAGCACTCTCCTTTGAGGATAGATGGGCGGAGCATATTTGCATGATGCAATTGTCACAGTTTTTATCTGACAAGTCATTATAGGAACACATGCTATTAGAAGCATATCATTTTTCATCATTTCGCGTCGTACAAAGAATCACGTGACCTAATGAGATAAGATAATGATGCATCTAGTCACATGATCTCAGATCTCTCTCGGCATTGTCACGTGACACCGAGCCCCTCGGCATTGTGTCATATGTCACAATCACCATGACGCCATATTGCATGATCAAGAGGAGCTCCGTCTCCACGGAATATTATTAGGCAGCCAATCAGGATAATTGGGACATGTCGTACGATTGTAGCACAGTCCAGTAGCACAGCGTGTGACTCACTTATGTAGTACTATACAGTAGCTAGACAATCATATACATAAGGACCAGCGAGACGAGGAGGAGACCTCAGTCTTATTCTCCTTCGTCCTCCACTACCATCACAGAGAGGTCTTACCAGACACTCTCAGTGTGCTATACATCTGTATTCATCCTCACCTTTGTGATCACACCCCTTGTCTCACCAGTAAGTCTTTTTCTGCGACTAGCAACTGGGCCTCGTCAGTGGGCATGTTGTATCGCCACAGCTCGTCGCTGTTGGCTTTTACCAGAAGACCCTCAAGGGGACTTTAGTCTTGGTTGTCTATCTTTGTCATCAGCGTGCCATGACATTAGAATAAGACTGACCTTTTACGCCCCTACCAAGTGTCTAACACTGATAGCCGCGCATTTTCACCCAGAGACACATCCGCCCAGGGCAGGGCTTTTTCCACACCACTTCCTTCATACCATTCCACTTCACCTCTACTGCCTAAGCCACTTCCTTTCTTCAAAAGGAACAGCGCTGCATCGACCGGTAAAGCATCTCAAGTGCACAACAGTATCGTTCCGCCCAACGGACGATATCACCCTTACCATCCTCATCCTAACTGCACTCGTCGTCTAACAGTGAGCAACCTACTCTGAGCCAAACCCAATGAGCCCCCCCCCCGCTCAGAACTACAGAAGCTGTGCACCAAGGTCAGCTCGTGGGCTGAAGCAATTTCAGAAGACGCATCTGACCCATCTGTTCCTATTTACAAACCTTACTGGTGGTCTAACGACAACGCCACTGCCGTACTCACCTTCACACTCTCTAAGAGCTACCACCCTCACGGGATCCATGAGGACCCCAAAGGCACGCTTCCAGAAAACATCGCGCCGACCGTATATGCCACTATTCAGTGGTACAAAGTTTTGCAGCAGCCCCACATCGCTGCCAAGTTCACAGAAGCACAAATTCAGTGTCGCGATCATATTCTGCGACACTTAGGAGCTTTGAATGAGAGGATTGGACGAGGCGACAACTTCACATTTGTCGATAGACACATCGCTATCAAGCTTTGTGTAGGACTAGGGAAGATTTCGTTCAAAGGAATCAATAAAGAGCAGGAGCATGTAGGACACGATATTGTAAGGTTCGAGAAGGAGTCGTGCTACTGGCCTTACTAGGACCAGTAAATACCTTTGTATCACCACATAGTTTCATGCTGAGATACACAATCAGCTTTATATACGAAAACTACATCATGGACTTCTATCGCTCAGTGCAGGAATAACTCACAGTCATCTGCACTGCATACTTCATTTATCAACCTCTCGTCACCAACTGGCAACAAGTACTATACCATTACACGGTACAAGTACACACTTACACCACCTACTCGGCACCATTCCGCCTCATCCCTGACTTCGAAGAAGAGTGAGAGTATTGGCACAACCAAGCAGAATCCTTATGAGAGGAACTAGCAGAAGAAGAACTCATCGAGGAAGATCCCGAGGTCCCCTTCTAAGAAACATCATCACAAGGCTAAGACCAAGAATCGATTCACACATTGTCCATCACTTCATTTCCACTATCTTCAACATCGATCCCAATGTCTCAATACAACCTTGGCGGTGTTGCGTTCCCAGAAGGGCACACCATGAGCGAGCCTACTGAACTCTGGAGGAGCCAGGCCACTTCCACGTCATCCGAAGCAGGACCAGCTGCACCTGCAGAAGAACCACATACGAGCAGCACACCCAAGGCATCGGGAGTAGTCAGAAACCCATCGCCCACCACCCTGCTAGAATTCACCACACCTCAGACTTGGGAATGGCAAGGGATCTCTTATGACACGATTGAGGACGCCACCAATGCCGCCGCACCCACCACTGTTCCAAACGATGTCAAGGAATGGGTAATGAATGTGGTGCGAGCGTTCATCATGAGGGATGTTGTGAGCTCCTATGAAGCACTACATCAAAAGATGGATGAACGTCATGAGCGCACGGTAGCCTCATTGGAAGAAGAGATACTGGCTTGCATTCACGTCGAAATAATGGCAGTGGAAACACGAGACCAGCTAAAAGTTGCAAGAGCCCAGATCGGCACCCTCTCCACTGATAATGAACGGCTCATCAAGTCGAACAACAGTCTGATGGCCGAAGCCCAAGCAATCTGCAAGGACTTCGAAGATTACAAGGACGAAGTAAAGGGCCAGATGGACACCCCTTTACAGCAACATGGTCACCCTGAAGGAGGCACAGAAAAAGACCACGACCTATATCGTTGGGCTGGAATCTCAGCTCAACAATGCTATAATCAATGCGCCCCTCACAGGTATCCAACAACCAGCCGGCCAATCCAGTCAATCGCCCCACCGAATCAAGCTTCCAGACCCTCCCAAGTATTCGGGAAGGAAATCATCGAAAAACTTCGAGACCTGGTTCACCAACCTTCTCATATGGCTCGATTACAATCACTTCACAGATGACAAAGACAAGATTTGGCAGGCCAACGTGCATCTGGAAGGAGGAGCTGCTCTGTACATGAAGGAGTATGCAATCAAGCTCGCCTCCAGACAAAATGTTGACACATGGGCAGAATACACCTGAAAACTGGAAATGGCATACAAGACACTTGACTCCAAGCGCATGACACAATCACTGTTAGATGCACACTGCGCGATCCACCACAAGATGATGATTGCCTTCGCAGAGAACTTCAGGGCTTATGCCCCTGAATCAGGATAGTCCGATGAGGATTTAATCGTCAAGATCAGGGAACAATGGTCAACTCATATCCAAATGGTCATGTCGGTAACAGAGACTCTAGACCCCTCGAAGATTCCAACCTCCTGGATGGACTATTTCGAGTTCTGCCTGAAAATCGAAATCAAGCATCTCCAGCAAATTTCAGGCAACAAGTCTACTGGACAGATCGCGACGACCAGGGTGACCACCCCAAAGAACCCTAACACCATGGACACAAGTGCAAGGATCACACACGAAGTTTCCCTGGAACAGGACAGGTGGCTGGCAAACAAACTATGTTTGTTTTGCGGAAAGCATGCCTATGAACGAGGAAAGCGGTGCTCCTCCCCCAAGCCAGAATACAAGGGCAAGCGGTTTCAGACATGATCTGCCCCAAAGCAAGGGAAGGGCAAGGCGACAAATGTGTGACAAGTGGAAGAAGAAAGTAGCATGGGGTCATCAGCTCAAATTGCAGCATTGGAACAAGCAATTGCTGCACTTTGTGGTATGAGCACGACCTTGACTACTTCACCATCTAGCAAAGGCAAGGCTAAGGCGAAGAGCTCAGACGTGGCATCAATGGCATCGGCATCTACAGTCAAGGACACCAATGCGAGAATCACCGAGTTGGATAAATTCTCAGAGGATTTTCTGTATGAAGTGTAGATGAGTCTGGTGCTACACTTCGGAACAATTGTATTAGTACCATGAGAACGAATGTACCTAGCGATCATCTATATATTGCATCTGCGGGTTTTTCTAAACATTCGATCGAATTGCCGATAAAATTCGTATCACGGGAAATCCAGACAACAGCCTTACTGGATTCTGGAGCATTCTCTTGCTATATCGATCAGAGATTTGCTGAGAAGTACAGGTTTAAGATAATACCTCTAAAACACGAAATCAGAATCCTCAACGCAGATGCCAGCCCCAACAAGGGTGGTGCAATTACTCATCATATAGTCACAAGCATCTTAATTGGGGGGCACCAATCAACTGAGAGTTTGCTCATCACAAACCTTGGACGCATGTCGATGATCCTTGGCATGAAATTCTTACAAGAACATAACCCCTGAGTTGACTGGGAACCTAGAGAGGTTATGTTCTCAAGATGCAGACACACGAGGAAGCAACGAGTCAGAGTAAGTGAAGAAGAAGTCAACCTTCTATTACAACCTCGACTTGAAGATGAAGCAATTCTCCCCGACGTACACCAGGATGACGAGTGGAATCAGGAAGACAGCTTCATCAATTGAATAGACTTGCAAGACCAGGATCTTCATAACATGGTGCACGACATCCTAGGCATAAGCAAGAAGGTAAAGGAACATTTGGTAGAACAGCCGTCAGAAGAGACACAAGATAAAGAATATTGGTCCAAGTTCGTCCCTCCAGAATTTTTATCAATTCGGAGATGTGTTCTCGAAGAAGAGCTCGGAAAGAATGCCGACACGTAAGCCCTATGATCACACAATAGATCTTGTTCCAGACGCGGCAACCCCGAGATCGGCAAAAGTATACTCTATGTCTTTACGAGAAAAGAATTCACTCGTCGAATGGATTGATGGTGAACTAGCCAAAGGCTACATTTAACCCTCGAAATCCCCTTACGCCGCTCCGGTATTTTTTGTCAAAAAGAAGGATGGCTCGCTTAGACTAGTCCAAGACTACAGGGCATTAAACAGCATCACCAAGAAGAACAAATTTCCACTCCCTCGAATCAACGATCTCATTGACGGACTCTCAAGGGCTAGTATTTTCACTACACTAGACCTGAGATGGGGGTACAACAATGTACGCCTTCGCAAGGGAGATGAGAAAAAGGCAGCGTTCATTACCCACAGAGGGTTATTTGAACCCACTGTAATGTACTTCGGATTCTGTAATGCCCCTAGCACTTTCCAGGCCATGATGAATGATGTCTTCGGCGATCTCATTCGCACTGGAAAGGTGGCAGTCTACATAGATGACATCATCATTTTTATGGATAACCAGGAAGAACACAACCGTCTAACCAAAGAGGTCCTACAACGACTTAGAGACAATGACCTATTCGTGAAACCAGAAAAGTGTCACTTTGCGACCACTTTTGTCAAGTTTCTCAGACTCATAATCTCAAAAGGGTCAATACAGATGAACTCAGAGAAGGCCGACAGTGTGCTCAAATGGCCAGTGCCCACCAAGGTAAAGCAAGTGCAAGCTTTCCTTGGTCTGGCAAATTTCTATCGACGATTCATCAAGGATTTCGGCTCGATGACCTGACCCTTGACTCTGCTAACCCGTAAGGACTCAGTATAGAAATGGGAAGAACCTCAACAAAAGGCATTCAAGGTTCTCAAGACTGCATTCACTTTTGCCCTGATTTTAGCATTCCCCAACGCAACCCGTCCCTTTAGATTAGAAACAGATGCCTCAGACTTTGCCACAGGCGCGGTCCTTGAACAGTTGGGAGAAGATGAACTCTGGCATCCTGTCGCTTACTACTCCAACTCACTCAATGAACACGAGCGAAACTATGAGATCTACAACAAAGAAATGTTAGCCATCATTTGGGCTCTGGAAGAATATAGGCAGTACTTTGAAGGACACCCTCACCTGGTTGAGATATGGTCAGATCATCATAATCTTACCTATTTCTGACAAGCTCAGACATTGACCAGACGACAAGCGCACTGGTCACTTTACCTTACTAGATTTAATTTCATTCTCCATCACCACCCCAGAAAGACGATGATGCGTGCCGATCCTCTATCCAGGAGGCCAGATCATGAAAAGGGGGTGAGCAATGACAATTCAGGGCAAACTTTACTTCATCCTGAATATTTTGCCATCCATGCGATCTCAGCCACTCGTTCCTTTGAAGTTGACGATGCAAAACGTCTTGAAAGAGTGAAATCGGCACTAAAAGATGACGAAATGATCAAAGGTTACCAGCACCTACTAAAAACTGGCAAGCGAGAGTTCGAAAAAGACCTCCAAGAGTGGAACTTCGAGCATGGATTGCTGCTCAGAAGAGGAAAGGTCTATGTTTCAAAGGACTCTATGCTGCGGAATGAGCTGATCAAGCTACACCACGACATCTCCATGGCCGGACACCCCGGACGATGGAAGACGCAAGAGTTGATCAGCAGAAATTACTGGTGGCCAGGGCTCACCATTGATGTAAAGAAGTAAGTCCAAGGCTGCGTAACTTGTCAGAGAAACAAGAAAAGCAAGCAAAAGCCTTACGGATCGTTACAACCCAATCCAGTACCAGAGGGGCCTTGGGAGATGGTGACATGTGACCTAATTATGCAATTACCACCAAGCTCAGACCACAGAGGAGAAAAGAAGACCGCCATCTTGGTGGTCGTCAATAGGTTCACCAAACATGCCCACTTCTACCCAGTAGATGACACGGTGACAGCATCTCAAGTAGCATCAATCTTCTACAATGAAGTATTCAAACTCCACGGAATTCTCTGACAAATCATATCTGATCGAGGCACACAGCTCTCAGCCAAACTATTCTAGAAGTTTTGCGAGAAACTTCACATTAAATCTATGATGTCTACAGCTTACCACCCCGAAATGGATGGACAGACCAAACGAGTCAATCAGATTCTGGAGCAGTATTTGTGCATGTACTGCAATTACTGACAAACTGACTAGGTCACACTATTGCCCACAGCAGAATTTGCCTACAACAATCAAGCTTCAGAATCGACAGGTCTGTCCCCGTTTTTCATTGAGCATGGTCGACACCCCCGAATGGCACCAGACATATTGGAAGAAATACAGCATCCATTCCTGAAACACCTATTCCATAACCATGATCAAGCGCAGGAACAAGCTCGTGCCGCCTTGGCAGTAGCAGCAGAAAAAATGAAATGGTACTTCGATCTTAAAAAGCAGGACATTCCTTTTAAAGTAGGAGATGAAGTGCTTATTCGAGGAAAGGATCTTCACGTTAAAGTCAAGAGCCAAAAGCTGGCGACTCAAAACTATGGACCATTCAAGATCCTCGAAAAAATCGGAGTCGTATCATTCAAACTGCAACTATCCGCGGACATGAAGATACATCCCATGTTTCACGCTTCTAAGCTTATAATGTTCCATCAAGACTCTATCCCCAGATGCGTACCTCCCCCTAACCCCCCAGTCATCATAGACGGAGAGGAAGAATGGGACGTGGAGGACATCCTGGACTCTAGAGTCAGGTACAACAAAACTCAGTATCTCATTAAATGGTTAGACTATGATCACAGCGATAATACTTGGGAACCCCTGAAAAACCTCACAAATGTCAAAGACAAAGTAGAGGAATTCCATAAGACACACCCAGACACTCCAAGAGCAAAGCCACGAACACGCAAAGCGCACAAAATTGCCTTGTCTGACCACCCTGATGAATTCATGTTCTTCTTCCACATCCATTCAAATGCCCGAGCACCCTACAAGGGATCTTCAGAAGCTGTAGGGTGGTTTGTCAAGTCCATACAAGACATAGACATTCTCCCACATTCTAGAATGCTCATTGGCACTGGGCTTGCGGTTGATCCTCCAAAGTGGACATACATTCGAGTGGCTCCCCGAAGTGGGCTAGCCCTCAAAGGAATTGATGTCGCAGCAGGGGTAATTGACCCCGACTACACAGGGGAAATCAAGGTGCTTCTCGTTAATACACAACTAGCAAACCATTCGAGGTCAGGACAGGCGATCATGGCACCCAACTTATATGCGAACGCTATGCTCCAGAAATCATTTCGGAAGCAGATAGTTCACTCACAAAGCGAACCATATGAGGCGCCAAAGGCTTTGGCTCATCGAGACGATGAACCTTGAGAAGGGGGTGATGTTACAGTTTTTACCTGACAAGT